CAAGCAGGCTAATCTTTCTGAGTGATTCTACTGAGTTCATCCCTGGTAAAAGGGGGAAATCACTACATATAAATGAGATCTAGCTGCTGTCTTAACCAGCTGATAAATTATATCATCTACTGGAAAGGAATTCTCAATGCCCTCACCATTCCCCCATCCATGTACAAGAATAGCCATTTCCCATTCTTTATGTACTAGATTTCAAATGCAAGGAAAATGTCAGGCTGAGGTTGGCTGTGGGTGGGGGTTCTATCAGAGTGACTTACACTATAAACCTGGTTCATCAGGTGGCCAAACAGCTCACACTTTCAGGACATCAATCAGTGTGTGGCCTAAATCAGTGTTCTCAAACTTGGCTGCACATCAAAATCCTCTGGGGAGCTTTTACTCCCAGGTGATTGCAAAGCACAGCCAAGATTGGAAACCAGTGACCTAAATCAGCACCTCTCAAATATTTGTGAATATGAATCCCCTGGAGATCTTGTTAAAATGCAGATTTGGAGTGGGGCCCGAGATTCTGCATGCGTCACAAGCTCCCAAGCTAAACCCACACTGCTGACCTAGCCATATTTTGTGTAGCTCTGATTCCTTTCAGTAGCATCATAATCAAACTCAGTGATTTTTACACCCTTTTATTAAGCTATAAAATCATTTCTTCAAATCCAGTTTTACAGAAGAAAATGCTTAGCATGCCTCATTCCTTTGCACACAGAACCTCTCTAATATAACATAATTTCTAGGCCCTTACTATTTTGGACAGTATTTTGGGTATATTCATTTATTGATTTATCAATGTCCCCTTAAAATTTAATCATTTTGCTACTAAATAAATTACAAATAAAACAACCCTCAGGTCCCTTCATTTACCTGTAATAACCATCACTTAAAATAATTAATCATCATGAAGTAATGGTGATGGAAGAAAGGGTAAAAATAAAATACCAAATCATTTACTTTTGAAGGTTTCTCTTCACAGACATTTTAACAAGACATGTGTGGAAATGGGATAAAAATTAGATATTTTTTCAAGAGAGGGTAGACATGCAGAAATGACTAAATCTCCTAAGATAATGGAAAAATAGTTCTGATATACTTGAAAACTAGCAGCTTTTGATTCTGCTATCAGTAATTCTAACTCTAAACAGAAATATTACAGGAAGTGGTGCCATAAAAAAGCGTTGGCTAATCTCGAAAGAAATACCAAGATCAATGAAAATGGACTTTAAACTTACTTGTAAAGCAGTTTTCTTCCTAAATTTAGTTGCTATCTCAACTGTTATGAGTCATTCAATAAGTCCCAAAGAGAGGAGGGAAATCAAATATAGTTGTGGCAGGCATCCTTTAAGATGGTCCCCAGTGATCCCAGCCTCCTGGCATTCACACCTTTGTGTATTCTCCTCCCTTACTTGGGATAGACTTAATTCACTAACTTCTAACAGAATATTATAGAAGTGATGGCATATAATTCCTGAGGTTAAGATATATATATATATATATATATATATATATATATATATATATATATATATATATATATGGCTTCTTTCTTGAATATTCTCTCATACTTCCTCCTCTGTTGGATTTCCTATTTTGGGGCAAGCTAGCTGTCAAGGACCCCTATTAGAGAAGCCTATTAGATGACAAGTGCCCAATGCCTGCCAACAATCATCTGAATGATATCAGAATCTGATTTCCCTTCCCCAAGTAGAACTTTCACAGAAAATCACTGCCCTAACCAGTAGTTTAACTGCAACTTCATGAGAGACCTTGGGAGCTAGAGGCACCCAAATAACCTTGACCTGAATTCTTGATCCATAGAAATTGTGATAATAGTTTTTTTAAGCTGCTAAGTGTTTGGGGTAATAGGCTATAAAACAATTTATAACTAATATAGCTGCATTTGTAGATATTATATTGGCCTTTTCACAATCAACTGTACAAACCTGAATTGTTCTGGTACAGAGATGAATTAACAGTTTATGCAATCTATTATATACATATAAATTAATCAATGCTGCTCAAAAACAAATATTTCCTTATGCTTCTTTACATTACCCATGGTCAAAATCCAGTAAGTACTCAATCTTCTTTGAATTAAACTATATTACTCCATGGAAACATCACACAATAGGTCAAAAGGATCTAGAACAGATAAATGAACTCCTCCTAAGTATCTCTCTGCAACAAACAGTTCTGGGTAATAGGTCAAGCATTTTGTTTGTTGCGGAGAGATACCAGGGTGAGGAAGAGTTATCTGTTCTTGGATACTTTTAGTGTTTATTAAGCCTATTTATACAAGTTATGTTGGAAGTTCTATTAGGAGACAAAGATCACCACTTTTCCTCCTCCAATAAACAAAAACTGGAGATTCTGACTACAAGTTTAGCTGAGAATCCAGGTTCAATCATAGTACTACTCATGTGGAGTTGTTTGAGTACACTGGTAGAAACTATGATATAATCATGAAATAAAAATAGTGATATATTAACTGGAAAAAAAGGCATAAGGCAAAAATAGAGTGCCATAGAATTCTAGAGATAAAAAATAATAAAAAGATCAATAAAGCCAAGAGCTGATTATTTGAAAGGATAAACAAGATTGATGAACCTCTAGCCAGACTCACCAAGAAACAGAGAGAGAGGACCCAAATAAACAAAGTCAGAAATCAAACCAACCCCATAGACATACAAAGGATTGTAAAAGAAATACTACCAACAACTCTACTCTAGCATATGGACAATCTATATGAAATGGACATATTCCTAGAAAAATACAATCTTCCAAACTCAATCAGGAAGAATCAAAAAATCTGAATAGGCCGATAACTACCAATGCGATTGAAGCAATAATTAAAAAAAAATAAAAAATTAAAAAAAACCTTCCAGCAAAACAAAAGTCCTGGTCCAGAAGGCTTCACATGGGAGCTTTACTGGACATTAAAAGAAGAACTAAAATTTATCCTCCACAGACTATTCCAAAACATTTCAAGATGAAGTAATACTTCAAACCTCTTTCTATGAAGCCAGCATTGCTCTAATCCCAAAACCAGATAAAGACACTACAAAGAAATTGAATTACAGGCCAATATCGCTGATGAACATAGATGCTAAAATCCTCAACAAAATTCTAGCAAATCGGATACAGCATTACATCAGAAAGATATTGGAATCTCCATACTAATTACAGGTTGTTCTACAGAGTAGGAGGGGACTTTTTAGATCCACTTATTTGGAAAACAGATCAATATATGCTTTACTAGCTTTTTAAAAGAATGATCATTAAGAAGGAAAAATAGATCATAAATAATACATATTGTACCTATTGCTAAAATGCACTTTCAATCAAGTGTAAGGATGAAATACAACTGTGTACTGGGAGCACTAAATGGTGTTGTGTGATGTCATCTCTTCCTTAGATTAAGTGCATTCAATCCAGAGATGAAAGTGTAATATGTACTGTGCTCATTAGAATACATGCTCATTAGAAACAATGAACCAAAGAATAAATGCTCATTTCCTTTTCCTAAACAAAGATATTCAGACTCTTAAAACCTCTGCTGAAAAGTTCTATTTTTGTAGTCAACAACTTATTCTGTTCATGATAAATTATGTAAATTTCTAAAATTCCAATTTAAAAAAAATCTCTTCAACTTTTACACTGCCTGATGCTATTTTTGTGTGGTAAGATTGATGGAAGCATTTATGGAGGGGTGTATCAGCATGTAGCAAGATAGAATAGAAATATGTGTTTAAAATTTCTGTAATAACTAAAGAACAAAACCAGAACACAGTAATTTGTAGTGACTCTATTTATTAATACATGTATCACAAATGTTCACAATATCAATGCATTCTTGTTGGCATGCTAGAGGCATTATTTTTAAAGATCTTTTAAAAATATTTTGACATTTGTTCCCCCTTCACACTCGTTTTTTAATTGATTTGATGATGTCCTCAATGTCTGTAATATCAATGCAAAGGAAAAGTACAAAAAGAAGTAAAATAACACAATAGCAATTAATTGGAGAAAAACAGAAGTAATATTTTCTTCATGTGAAGCAACAATTCAGCTTTTTAATTCAGGTTTCAAGTGAGAGGTATAGGTACACTAAACTGTCTATACATACCCAGGCATGTAATAATAATGAGCAAGGAGACCACCTAAAGTTCAACAATTTCCTTCATGCCTTTTCCTCCTTATAAACAATTACTGATGTATCTCTTTACATGTTCTAGGAAGCCTGGAGAAAGTAAGAAAAAGCCTTAGTAAAGGGATAACCAAACTATAGGAAGTTAAGCCAAAAGAACAGATAGCTGTTTATCTATGTCAAGGGGAGTGACATTTATAAATCTTAATGAAGAGTTAACAGGAGCCTCCCAAAAACATGCAGGGCCCAGGTGGCCAGTGATGGAGTGATAACCAGTCACCTATGATGAGTTGCAGTTAGACCAAGTACAGATGGAGGAGCCTTGGGTTGGCTCCACTAGGACTAGATGCAAGGAATCTCGCTATACTCTGGCACAACAGGGCTTCACAAAATGGAACACTACACATGGTTTATGTTGAAAAGCAAGGTAGTGACTGTGTGGGAGTATCAGTTGCACACAGGGTATGAAGTTAGGGGAATAGGGAAAGTGTAATATATACTTTCTAACATTCTTTAGAAGTCTTTCAAGGATTGCTGCAGTTCCTTTATTAAATCGGGTCTCTTATTCCGTCGTTCTTGAAAGACTACGAGAGAGATTAAAACATGTGAGTGACTCACCATTAATAAGGATTGAAAATAAGGTAACAATCTGAGAAGAGTATTGATACATTTTCCACAATAGTGGTGATCACATCTCCTTCCTAGCACCACCACAGAAATGAGGTTTTGTCAGATGGACCAGTGCCACCAAGATCAGGTAGTTAAGTGGCTGGATAGTACCCTTGTGCTTTGAAAAGTAGTATGTTCCCCAAAGGGAGAAATTCAACACTCCCCACTGCCACTCACCTTCTCCTTACACCATCTCATACTGGTTGGCCGTGATGAACCGGGAAAGACAGCAGGCCAGCAGCATGCCAATCAGCTATTGCCAGGAGGAAAAATGAGAACAGAAATCTTAAGCCACTGAACTACACTGTGCTTTGACTCCCCTTGTCCCAACTGAGTGCTTTTGTACATGAATGGGAAAAGGGCACTAGAGAAAATGATCAAACCTGATTTCATCTGAGGTATCTAAGACTAAGAGTGTCTAACTGCTGATAGAGGATAACTAGAGGTTCTTGAACTAGCCACAGGTTCTAGTTCACTCTGACCATTTAAAACAACTTTTGAGTCCCAGTTGGTTTGGCTCAGTGGATGGAGCATAAGCCTGCAGACTGAAAGGTCCCAAGTTAGATTCCAGTCAAGGGCATATGCCTGGGTTGCAGGCTCAGTCCCCAATAGGGGCATGCAGGAGGCAGCTGACCAATAATTCTCTCTCATCTTTGACATTTCTATCACTTTCTCCCTCTCCCTTCCTCTCTAAAATCAATAAAAATAATTTAGAAATAAATAAAAACAACTTCTGACACATAAGTATTAAAATGTGTTTATATGTTATAAGAGTAATGAAAAAATTAAGTACCACAGAATTAGTGAGAGATACATTTTAATGCCCCAATTAAATTCAAAACCATAAGCACATGCACTGGACGATGTTTCAACATAGTATGATACCCCAGCCATACCCAACTGACCAAATAATAGTTCTTCCCTTGAGACAATGAGATGCTATTCTTGGCCAAAAGAGTTTGCCAGTGAAGAAGTAATAAAGTCATGGCTTGTTAGAGGCTGGGGGATGTGGGTGAAGGACAAAGAGGCAAAGAAGAAAGGGGGGCTTTAATTTCTCTTTGTCTCTCAACCATGTAGATATCTTAGGCATAAATGAGTCCATCTACATCTAAGGGCCACCTGCATAACCAATATCAGTGTATCTCTACCTCCTCAGAGGACATCAATCATCTACCTGTGTTTGTTCCTTGACTTAAACTGTAGCATAGATAGATCTGATAAAAGCTGTTGTGACACTATGAAGACATCCTTAAGCACATCTGTTCAGCTCACTGGAAACCAAAATTCTCTTTCTTGACTCTGGAGGATTAGCATGCTTTACACAAGAGCTCAAATGTACACTTGAATTTAGAGGTTGCAGTCTCTCTTAGCCAAATTAAGTCTCTTCTCCTTAAGCAGTTAGCCATATTTTATTGGATCAGAGTTTGGGATGACCTTTAGAGAAAATTGGTAACAGTGTCCTTTTAGTCACCCTTATCTTATAGGTGTAACACCTGTGGCCAAACTGGATCCCATTCTTGGTCAGGGCAACACCTGGACTCTGTTCTCTGAAGAGTTTATTATGCTGAAAACTCCTCAGGACAGAGACCTCAGAGCTACCATTTACCCTGCTTGTGGCTGGTGAAATCCCTAATCCTATATAGTTTAGGCAGTTATAGATCAGCTTATTTATATTTGATTGACTAAGATTTTGTACTTAGTACCCATCTAATTTTTTTGAAATAACATTTTATTTTATTTTTACTATTATCTGCCTTGTCAGTATGTATTCTATTTTCTTTTGAGTTGTTAAAAACCTCAGGGAGGTCCTACTGCTTCAACAACAGAGAAACCAGAGAATAGAAAGAGAGGCTGTCAGCAAAGACAAGAGATGTCCAAGGCAACAGGGCAAGGGTGTCTTCCTCTGCCATCATAGAGTTGTAAAGGCAACTTTCTTAACAAGAAAGTGGCAAGCAATAGATAAAAAAAATTTAGATCCTTATAATGCCTGTGAATATTTTATTTTAATTACTTAACTGGAAAACTAAGTAAAACTTTCATGACTTTAGGAAAGTACCAAGGAATCTAACTAGAAATGAAATGGTATAAATGTTGTTAGGGATCATCTGAGGCCCTGAAAATACTAATAGCCTTTTTGGGGCCATGTCTTATCAAGGCTATCAATAACTTTGTCTTGCCCTCTACATAGAAAAGGTAAACAAGTCCCAGAAAAAAATTCCCAGCCAATAATGAATCATCCCAGAAGCCTGTGAGCTCTGGGGGAGGCTCTACAGTGGTGAATGTCAGGGGATGGAAGGGGTAGGAGGAGGATCTATATTTTTTATGAGTACCTTTTTCCTTCCAATTCCACAGATTCAAACCCTTTCATTATAAAAGCACAGAATAAGTTCCCTTTAGGTGCTATCTGAGGCAAGAACAAGGGTAAACTTTGGCCTAGATGTTTAATAGAGCAGACCAGGTGTGGGGGTCAGAATTGTAAACCTGGATCTATAGTAGATGCCCAATCTCAAGCAAGCCATTCAAACCCTATGAAAACACACTCAACCTCTTGCTATAAATTTATAGGGCAGCAAGACCTGCATATCAATTCCAGGCAAATGGGCTTTTCCTTGAGAGGGCAAAGGCAGTAGGAGAGAAGTATAAAAGGCCTGCTTTAAATTAGTTAACAGGGCCAGAGTTCTTGCACATTCTATTAAGACTAGACTCAGCTTAGTTTTCTTTTTATTATACTTTATACCATCTTTGATTTCTGAGACAACAGATGTACAAATCCAGTTTGTTCCAATAGATGATAGCATGGAGGTCACAAGAGCAGGTGAGGAAAAGGACAGGGAGGAGGAGAAGAGCAGGTGAGGAAACAAATCCCCTCTCTTATTGCCTCATAGGGCCACAGAGAAAACTCAGCAATTCCACATAAGGGATTTCTTCATGGTAGCACAGAGAGATTAATGCTCAGTAGGCCAGGTAACCACTTGTCTAAGCACAAATCAGGTTCTTTATGACTTGGGTCACCTCACTAATGAAAATAGGATTGTCACTTCACTACCTCATGGCCACATGTATATATTCTTGGATGATGTTTCATACATGAGATCCCCGACTCTTTGAGGCTCTCTTCTCCCCATGCAGACTACTGGCATCATGTCCCTTTATGGTTCTAGGATAGCTATTAGTGAAGATTTCAGCATATTCCTACCTCCAAAGGGACAGTTCTCAAATGCCCAGAAAAAGTCTGTCCTGTAGGTGGGTATGAACGTGTTGCTGCACATACATGTGGAAAGTAAATTGTATGTGCAAGCTGTCAAGTGCATCTTGTACATCTGCATCAAACACATGGTTTGGGATCCTCTAAAATACTCCTTTGACCATTACAGATTTGCTACTGAGATGTTATTACTGAAATATGATAGCAACCAGAAGAAAGTTCAGGGCAACAATTCCCTCTGAAATGCCTCTGGAGACTGAGTTAATTGGCCCTGTTTGTGACAGCACTCTGGTTTGTCTCTGTGTGGGTGTATTGAGATTTAACTCACTTCACGAGTTTCAAAAAGCAAACCAATGGTTAATGAATTTTGAAACTGTCACAAGAATGACGCACTCCTATTGGCTGAACCCACATGTTCTTGTGAAATGAAACATCACGCAGGTTTTTTGAACCTGCTTGGAACAAATTTTTTTACTTATCTATGGCAAAAACTATCAGGCTAATGTTCAATTCCTGGATCTGACAGTCACATAAATATGTTCATCTCATGATAACTTATTAAACTGCATACTTTGAAGTTATGCACTTTTCTGCATGTGTCATATTGTAATAAAAAGTTTTAGACTTAGCAGGAAGGAAAGTACAAGGGAGTGAGGAAAAATAATTACAGTCTGAGAGAGCCAATATAGCATTCAGGCAGGTGAAATTAGAGCTGTGGACACATTACTGATAACAATAATTAGACTCAGTTGGTCTGAAAAAATTCTAAGTAAAACATAAAGGTTTTATTTAAGTACCCATAATAATATTGTAGTCACAGTATATTTTTTAGCCAGGAGATCAGAAACTTGTGGGAATTATACTGCCTGGTGGAGATGGACAAAATTTTAGATTTAGCTTAATCTTGTTCCATCTTTAGTTTGCATAATTACCTCTTGAACTGTTTTTTAGAGGCTGGGTAGAGATAAAGGAATATAAAATGCAATATACAGAAATTTGGTTTCCTCTTTAGAAATAATAGTCAAACCTAGAGATTAAAATAATAATCACAAAATGAAGTTGGCTAAATTTAGGTTTTCTTTAAAGGGAGAGACCTCATGCATAATCTACAGGAATTAAGAGAAAAGTGATAGGTTACGCAGAAAAAAAAAAAAAAGGCTTCCCCCCAATCCAGATCAGCCATTTGATGTTTGGAGTTGTTTATGCTCCAATTAAGCCAGCATTTTGTTCAGTTAACCTCCATTTGACCTACAGAAGAAGCAAGTTGTTTTTCTGGAGCTAGTCATTAATTGAACTGTAACCAATATTCCCTTGATGGCAAAACTTCATTTAAGTTGAAAAAGAAAAATCAATAAACAGATGACCTAAGGACTAATGAGCATGGAGCTCTGACCCCATCTATCAGCCTTTCCCAAGACACAGTGAGGGCAGGCAGAGCCTGGAGATCAGGGAGGGAAAGGAGAGCAGGAGACAGGGAAAAGGCTTGACTGGATCACACAATTATGTAGGCTACCTGGGAGAATGCAATTCCAAAAGCCACTCCAGCAATGATTCCCATGTTAGTCTCCATGAAACTGGTCACCAGATCATAACAACCCTGGAAACAGAGAGAGACAGTATCAGAGGCATGTTTTATCCAGGCCAGACTGGACTATGTTAACATTTTTAATTCACCCTAGGAACTTACCATCATTCTTTTTACACTTACAAATAATGAAAAATTTCCTACATACAAAAATATATACAGAGTAGTACAATGAGCCCCTAAGTGAACCTTTTTCTAACATCACAATTAACATACAACTAATCTTGTTTCATTTAAATCTCTCATCCCTTGGCTGAGTTATTTTAAAGTAAATCATATATATATAGTGTTGACCCTTGAACAACACAATGGTTGGGGTGCTAACCCCTGCATGAAAAATCCATATATATCTTTGACTCCCCCAAAACTTAAATTGATCCTCAGTATTTCTCAGGGGTTTTTGGTTACAGGAATCCCCGCAGACACCACAATCCGAGGGTGCTCAAGTCCCCTATGTAAAATGTCTCAGATCTATGCATACATTAGCCCTCTATATCCACAGACTCCCGCCCATAGTTGAAAATTATACATGAATTTATTGGGGGGGAGGAATCAGTGTAAGACCCACACAATTAGTTAAACCCCTATTGTTCAAGGGTTAACTATATATTCATTGGCAAATATCTCAGTAGTAGAATTAAAATTAGCAATGAAACTGTAAGACCTATGAAGCAAACACTATAGAGACACAGAAGTAAACTTGAACAGATGAAAAGGCATTTTATATCCTTGAACAGGAAGGCTCAGAATCATAATCATAGTTAATAGTATTTTAACAACAAATGGAAAAATCTTGGATAAGGTGAAATCATCTGGTCAGAGAGAGGTGATTGAATGCCTGCCAACTTTATGGCATTTTAGGATTCTTCCTAAAGAGACTATTATACTTGTGTTTTTTTTAATGGGGAAAACATAAGTTCTAGAGTCTTTCCTACAAATTTACTATATCCCCTTGAACAAATCACTTTTCTGTTTTGATGTAAACATCCTTACCCATAAAATGAAGGGAATTTTCCTTGAACATACTGGATTACATTTTAGCAATCTAATACAGATAGGATACACCAAATGTATATCACCCATAATGCAGAGGCAAAAACTCACTCTTCCTGTTAAAAGCCTCACAGGTCAAACAGCAGGGAGGGAGAAGGAGGATGAAGTAAGAGGGAGGGAGGGGGGAAAGGAGGAAGAGAGAAAGGAGGGAGAGAGAATGAAAAATGAGAATTAATTTATATGTATTTTCATTCAAAACAGCCAAATCAACCTAGACTTCTGACACATGCAGCTTTTTGGAAAACTTGGTCATTTTCTAGTTTTCTGTAAAAGAGCTTCAATTGGAATGTATAAAGACTGTGAAAAATCAAGACATTACTTTTATAACAGAGTAAAAGGGACACTTGTTTATTAAGAAAGGCACTCTAAATTGTCATAACATGTAAAAAACAAAAAACAAAGCAAAAGAACAGTGTCTCCCATTTTTAAATTCAAAATTTAACCATTTAATATTTTTCATAGCCTGTAAAAATTCTGCCAAGGCTGTGTCTTCTAATAAGTGATATTTTATGTATTCACAGTCTGTTTGCAGAGAAAACGATGCATTAACTTAGCAGCAGTGCTTTGACACATGTTTTTAATGCAATGGACAAACTATACTCCTTAGTTATCTGACATAAATTTGAAGGCCAGGGCAGGGGTGGGAAAGGAAATACATTATTACCATGGGGAGTTTTGAAATTTGATTCTCTCTTTATAGTATAGGCTTGCCTGCTAATTTCATTTTTACTAGTGAAACTATATAATCACACTATTTTTCAAAAGACAGTGAAGGAAAACAGTTTTGGGTAGGAAGAATTCAAAATGAGAAGGGTGGTGGATATCCCTATCCATTTCCCAATGATAGTAGCTGAGTGTTTTGCTATGCTGGCCATTATTAATTGTGGCTTCTCCTCACAGCAATGGTCAATGATCTGGTAGAGGAATGAAATTCACATAGCACTGGTTCTAGGTCGGCTCAAAATATGGAAACACAAACCCAATTTAAAAAAAACTAGAGAGAAGTGAGATGAGTTATTATTTCACTCTGCAAAATAATTTGGCAAAGATTTTTCTGGCTCATCCCATACATAGAGAGGTCACCAGTTTGATTCCTGGTCACAGCACATGCCTGGGTCGTAGATTTTACCCCCAGCAGGGTGTGTGCAGGAGGCAGCTAATCAATGTTTCTCTCTGTCTCTTTCCTTCTCCCTTCCTCTCTCTCTAAAATCAACAAAAACATTTTTAAAATATATAAAGAAATTCCTATGGAGGAGGAACTCAGCCAATACTTTGGCCAACTGAACCTAGAGACATGCCATAATCCTGCTAACAGAAACAAAATAAAATTTGTCTCCCAAACAAAACAATAAATATCCTGCTTAGCTGTTTTCAGCTCCTTCCTGCTCTCTCACAGTTATTTGTACAAGGTAGGTTTCTCAGGCTGTCCAATAAGAGCTAGAGTCATCTTTATGTGATCCTTCCTATGAGGACTGGCTGTGTCATTTTTAATAGAAGCCACAATGTAGTAGAGTGAAAGAAAAACATCATTGTCATGACATTTACTATACTACAGGTAATAGAAAATATTATAATTAACATTTACTGTGTCCTTACTCTGTGCCAGACACCATGCTTTAGATACTTTATCATCTTCAATCTTCCTATCAATCCTAAGGGGCATTAACTATTATTATCCCCATTTTACAGATGAGAAACACGACTGAGAAAGGTTAAGTAACAACTTATTAACACTGTATGACCAGCAAGTGGCTGAGCCAGAATTTAATGTGGAGTCTGACTTCAGACCATATATATGATCTGGACTTCTAGACCTTCAACTTGCACAAAAGAAGAGGAAGTTTGGGTATAAAAAATACTTTTACCAAAGGTTGTGGTTTCTGCTTCTACAAATGACTTCCTGAGGCTCTGGTACACCAATATCTCCCTGCCACAAAGCTCTTCTTGCCTTTCAGAGTAGCCACCTTGTAAGGTGGCATTTCATAAAATGGTATCATACTGACATGTATGGGTGCTTAGTGGGAATGTCCATGAAAAAAGCAGAAGTTATATTACTAATGAGAGGCAAATGGGCTTCAAACTTTAGGTTTATAAGAAAATTTCAGTAGGAACAGATGTCCTCTTATCCAAGACAAAAAGCTCTCAGTACTAAACATGTTACCTCCCCAATCCAATAGCAAAGTCAGAAGCCCAGCATGACAAACCAAGTTTCTAGAATGGCAGCAATGCCTTGCAGTTTTTATGCAATAAATACTAACATTAAATGGGTAAAATACAGAAACCAATATCTTAACATTCTGATCCTGAGGAAATGTTACCTCCTATTAATTTTTCAGTAGTTGTCCCAGACCACATAGAATTTTGAAAACCTTAAAAGAATAGAATTTTATCTAAGAAAAGAAAATTTACCTGATGGCCATATAACCACAAGTAAACTTAATAGTACGGTTTTATTTTCCCTCTTGTTTATCAAACTATATGTTCTAAACATTTAAGAATATAGATGGCCTTCACATGCATTTGTACCTTATCTTTAACATAGTCTATGTAAACAGAATAAAGAATTGATATTCCTTTTCTGACTACGGAAATTTCATATTCCTCAATTCCACTACATACTAACTTTCAAATATCTTTTAGCCAGTTTTTCCTCTCTAATTCCTTTTGTAGTCCGGATGTTGACAGTGAGTTGGATTAGAATTGTTTATTTCTTTTCCTATGACAGTAAACTCCCTAAAATAAAGGCCACCCTCCTAGCAGAAACAGATGCTGTCTGTCAACTCAACTCCCCCTTCCTGCTAAGGACTGACACCCAGCTGTAAATGATTTTGTGTTTAGTAGATATATTAAGCAGAAAAAAAGACACCCAGAAAGAAGAAAGCCAGCATTCCCTGTCTGGCATCAGCATCAGGTTTAACAGAAACCACTTGCTAAACCTTCCTAACCATGCCTAGCAGATTCTTGCTGGGAGAGGAATGCGGAGCTGAACTGAGTTACAGCTTTTTCCTTAGAAGTAGGCAGCCTCAAGTACCTCTTCCAGGCAATAAAGAACCACAAAGGCAGATTCTTGACTCCTTCCTAGACCACCATTTCTTACCTACTTGTTATAATTTCACAGAAACAAAAATGATCTCCCCAAACATTCACCACTGGTCCCATCATGACTGAAAGAAAGCAAGTACCTTCTGGTAAACTTTGGTGGAGGCCACAGTCAGATTGCGCAGATCGTTGGGATTACAATCAGTGTCATTCATGCAGCAACTTGTGGGGATGCCATGATCTAGGAAGTAGGGGCTGGTGCTCCAGTTGGTGTAGTTCTGCACACCGCAGCAGCTCAGCTGTTAACAGGGAAAGGAAAAGAATCAAAGTGTGTCAGATCAAAGACTGTGATCTCCTCACTCACCGCCCTGTAACTTTTAAAAGAGAAACATGGGCCAAGCCTCTGAGTCAACAGGCACAGCTTTGGTGGGTAAAGATGAGGTGAAGCTCCGCTAACAATTGTTCTCACTGGGAAGCCCATTTGAACTCAAAGAAGAAAGTTCTAAATGATGGGTCATGTTGGCATTCTTATGACCTCCTTAAATCAAAGCAGTGGCCTGGTTATGCATCAAAATCACCTGTGTCAGCTGGGTGCTGTTAAAGGTATATAGATCAACTCAATCAGGACTGCTGATGGGGAAGCCAAGGCAAAAATGGTTTTAAAAAGCTCTTCAAAGGATTTATACTAATAAGTAAATAAATGAGATTTTTAGGGGGTCGGGGGAGATGCACATAGAGGTAGAAAGAAAGTTGGTGGAGCTATACTATAGCCCACCAGCTGCCTGGTTTCATAAATCAAGTTTTATTGGAACACAGCCAGGCCTCTTTGTTTACGTGTTAACTATGGTTGCTTTTGTGTTACAGAGGCAGAGTACTTGTGACAGAGACTGCATGGCCCTCAAAGCCTCAAATAGTCACTATTTGACCCTTCACAACTGCTGACATAGAGAATATTAAAGCAAATTGGGTAAAATATAATTAATTAGTGAGTCTGGGTAAAAGGTGTATTTTTTTATAAGTTTGAAATTTTATCAAATAAATTACCCCCAAAATTAAAATGCCTCTGAAGTACATCAAAAACATCCTAATGTCAAAAAAACTCCCCAGGTGATCTTCATGGGCATCAGGCTTCAGCGCCAGCACCTGCCCTGCTGAGTGCCCGTAGGCAGGAAATTTCTACTTTCCTACTATGCTTTGTAAAGCACCAGGCTGTCTGGGCCATTCATATACAGACCCTCAGTTTCTTCTTGGTCCACTCTCTATCCTCAGTATGCTGCAAAAGCCTGTGAAGGTAGTTTACTCAAGTTCTTCACCCAGACTAAAGATACCACTTCCAGGAATGCCAATCTTTGGGAACCAACTCTAAGAAAAGCTGTCATACACTCACTGCCTACCTCCTTTCCAAGGCTTCAGATCTTCAAATTTTAAGGTCAAACTTGCTTTTCTTGGGATCCTTACAATCCTTACTTAAAAAAAAAAAAAAAAAAACAGAGCCAGTGATGCTTCTTGACAGTAATTACCTGGGTAATTGGAGCCTGGGCAAATACCCTAACCCTTGGAAATGGAATGTGATGAAAAGTTTGAGAACAGGAATCAGCAGCAGCACACAACTCTAAAGCCACACCTCACAGGCAGTTCCCAACCCCCACTCCTTCCATAGAACTTACGCTGCGCTGCACATGGTCCACTGCCTGGCTCCTCTCATCATTGCCATTGTAATTCTGCATGGCATCCATGTAAGTCCTCAGGAAGGTATCCTTGATCTATGGAAGACCAGGAGGAATAGCTTTAGAAATCTAAAATTTTACATATAAATTAAAAACAAAGAGCTGTGGGGGTTTGGGATCATGACTATCTTTTTTCTTTTTCCCTCACCACCAGGCATAACAGCAGGGCTCCTCATTACTGGGATGTAGATTTTACCCCCAAGTGGCAGGGGTGGCCCAAAGGGACTCAGGGGAGGAGAGAAGAGAGCACAGGCTGCTTTGGGGAAATCTAGCACTTTGCCTTTGGGACACAACTAGTTTGGTTTGCCTTCACAGTTTCAGAAATCGTTATATAGATATACACTTATGCTTTGCTCACATAGCTATCTTAAAAGGAGTATTTAATCGATATTGAAGGTCACTGCTTTAAAACAAGGTGGAGAATAATTTTATGTAATCTATATATATATTGGTTTTATATATATATATATATATATATATATATATATATATATATATATATATATATATAACCAACCGTCCGTCCAAATGACCAACCTGCCAGTACATGATGCATACTGGTAATTTAAAAATAAACATTGACTCATACATACACAATACATATACTAGTAAAGATCTCGCTGGCGTCAATCACACATGTGTGTTTTGATCTGTCATTGTCAATCATAAATTTGGTTGACACTTCTATTATAAAGAAAGGATGAATAGCAATATTAAAATACTTCTTTTAATTAATTTCCTTTCAATGTGCACAGATCCATGCACTGAAGCACTAGTAACTATATAAAAAACAGAGTGAGGATCAACAACTAAGTTTTTGAGTTTGGCTAAATTCCTGCCTTTATAAATTTATTGGCATTTCAGCCCATAATATAAGATATTTGGAAAATAGCAATACCACTGGAGATGCCAGCTAGCCTATATGTGCCCTATACAAGAGGTTTCAAATTTCCTCCCCCAAAGACTCTTTAACAAGTGATCCACTTTGTATATACTCACCTCATGACGAAACACAAACCCTGAAATGCCAGCTACGAGCTCAGCCAGGAACACCAAGGACAGAAACATGGCATACTGAAAATCAAGTGGGCAGGAAAAAAGTCAAATATGTCAAGATTAAGAAGAATACTTCTTGTCAGGAAGAATTAGACAAACCCTCCTTTTTCCTAGACAAAGCTAAGGAAACATTTAAAAATACTCTTCTCCAAATTTACCCACATGAGCCTCAATATAGGAATATGTCTGTTTAACAGGAAGAAGCATTTTGGGACTAGCATCATGCCTGTCAGCACAGGTTGACCAAGAGAAATCTAAAAGGACTTTCTACAACTTAAGGTATCCATTATTTTTAATGTTAGAATCCTTGAGCTAGTCTAAGGCCATGCAAGTCTAACACCACACCTCACAGGTAGTTCCCAGAATCTGCGTTCAGGAGATATAAGAACCAGCCCTCTCTTTTATACAGCAGGCCCTTATATGGGCAAACACAGCCTTGGCACAACCCTGCTTTTTTCCATTCAGACACACTATTCCAGTTTCCTTAAGTACATCTCATATGAAATGGCTTCAAAACCTCTCCCTTTGGAATTGTATCCCTCCCGTACTTACAAAAAAATCAGAATGTGCACAGGTTGACCTCCCTTCCTTCATATGGTGGTCAGACTCGAATGCAGCATATACAACAATGGCTAATAGGCTACCTACCTACCTTTCTTGTTCTGCACAGTACATGGAGTTAATAGTCTTTTAAAAAGCCAATATGCTACACTACTGACTAACAACGTTTGCAGGCACCTAAAACCCTTAATGCTTCTTTCTCATTTCATGCTTCCTGTACTTTCCAAGTTGATTTTGTGAGTGTGCATATTACATGGTAGTTACAAGACATTAACGGTTTCCTTTTTTGTGACTTTGTAAAGCAGATGAAAGGAAAGAGAATTGATTCCTTTTCTACAAGGCATATGTCGTACAATATGCTTCTCGTCTCAAACTATATAAAAGCCCTCAATATTTGGAATGGCCCTAGATGATGCTGAGGAATTTAGAAAAACTGCACATGACCATATGACTTACTTGTAAAGTGTACACATGTCCTATAAAGTATAAATATATACACAGGATCATAAATTAATTTTCTCAGCTAGTGACACATATATTACAATGAAGAAGTACTGGCTTGAAATGCCAGTTTCATTTGAAATATTAACAAAAGTCTCTATACACTTAAAGTACAGCCACTAAAATAACTCCTAAGTTTGAGACCTAGTCTTTCTGTGGTGAAAGTCTTAGGAAAGAGGCAGCCTCCCTAGAGCCCATAAAGTGAAAATAGTTATTTTCAGAGTTTTTTGCAATTAATGAGGTTAAATGAGAACTGTAAAATTCTAGACTGACACTTAAGTTATTTCCTCTCTCATCAGCAAGATCAGCAATATCCTGTGTTTCGATGTTTCCCTGCTATCAGAACCTTCCAGAGAACAGCTTCTTCTCCTTCACAAGGCCTTAGCCAAAGTCTATTGGGAAGAGCTTGTGCTAAATACAGATGGTAGGTTCAAGTTTTCTCCAAATGAAAATACTATAGTAAAAATTATCCTGTCTCTGGAAAGAGACATTTATGGGTTTTAATACCAGCTCTCGGTACTGGAATATTACCTATATGAACCTTGGCAGGTTATTTAACCTCAAAGACTTCATCTTATAATGGAAATTACTTCATTCAGAGGTGAGAAATAAATGTAGTATGCATACAGGATAGCATCTGTCAGGTAAAAGAAACTAAATGATAACTTTTAAAGGTAAAAAATAAAAACCTTTTGTACTCCCCAAAAGGCTCATCTGCTAACAAGTTCTCAAATGTTAGGAGAAAATGGGTAGCATGGTGTGGCATCACCTTCAGAAGGGGCCAGAGATAACTATTCCATTGCTGTATCCTATCTTATGCCCTTCACTCATACTATTTGAGCTAGAAGAAACCTTGGTGATTTAGTCCAATACTATTCTTTCATAAATGAGGACAGATGTCCAAAGAGGTTTCATCCTTGCCACTAAACACATAGACAGTGTCAGAATCACTCAAGTCTCATGACCAGGTTTCCTCCATTATTATTTATACAAATGAATATTTAGCAATCCTTCTTTACTATTCATTTGAAGTTAATTCTCCTCTTGCTGCCCAGGTGATGTAAGCATGCATCCAAAGTTGAGGACTACTATACTAGACTGAAACAAATCTTAGTGCTTGTAAGAAATACAAGAAGGAAAACTCAGGCTATTAGTACAGAGTAGCAGCTGAAAGCAGCAAATGTGCCTCAATATGACTTCATTATGGTTTTGCCACCAACCCCAAAGAATCAGTGGTGGCAGGGCATGTCTCTTGCATGGTCTGCAGAAGAGAAAGTGCCCAAATCAACCATGGCTCCCATGAGATTGTCAACAAAGAGACTGACCTGTGCCACTTTGAAAGGTGGTTCCTTTAGAGTGAATTACCTTTACACCTACATCTATCACTACATGGTATTAAATGTTACTACAACCTAGAGCTAAATGAGGAAGCACAAACAACAAAGTACTGGTGGTGGACGCTTTGCTATTGAGCTCTCAAGTGTTAGGAGGTGTGTTTCTACTTTTTATCTATAAAAGCCTTTAACATTAACTTTTATTAATGAGGAGGATGGACAGTGAGTAGAGACTTAGGCAACTATTCTATTAAAACATTAAGAATTGCAGTAACAACCTTTTAACAGCCTGCCCTTATTCTTTAGGAAACATCGCTGCTCTGGCTGCCCTATTGGAGTAAAGGTACCCAGTACTGGTCCTGGTAGCCAATAGTTGGCACTGCATCAACCCTCTGTTGAGTGGAGAAGCTCTTGATTAGCTCAATTCCCATAGAACCAGGGTGTACAGGTTTCCAGAAGAGTATGCCCATGCATCCACAGCCAAGTTCAAGAATACAGAAAGTATTTCTCCAGTGGGAACTTGGAGACGAAAGATTGCTTATGTTTGGGATAATCCTCTGTTAAGTGGAGAAGCTCTGGATTAGCTCAATTCCCATAGAACCAGGGTGTACAGGTTTCCAGAAGAGTGTGCCCATGCATCCAAAGCCAAGTTCAAGTACACAGAAAGTATTTCTCCAGTGGGAACTTGGAGATGAAAGACTGCTTATGTTTGGGATGCTGTCTTGCCCCCCCCCCCCAAAAAAAAAAAAAAAAAAACACAAAACTGCACATCACATGCTTGAAGAGTTTTCTAAGAGAGGATTCAAAACTGGAACAGGGCATCTTGTCACAAGGATATAAATGGCCTATTAGAACTGATTTCTCATCATTTACCTCAGGGGACCAGGACTGATTTTTTTTGTTTTTGTTTTTGTGCCAGGCTGTGTTTTGTGTTGTTTTTCCCTCTAAGGGATTAAAGGGTGGATTATGTAAGAATCTGACTAAAATTAGAATCAATGAATATTGAGGTCTTATCTGTGGCTTCAAGAAAGCCACTTTGCTTTCATGTGATTGATTGCAAAAAGGAATTGAAAAAGCAGTATGTTGTTGTGACATACTCACCAGTTTCAACATCCATGGGCTACCACGGCATGTAGCAAAGCATCCAAACAGGCCAAAAACAACGATAGTAGTGCCAGTTCCAATGAGGACATAGGGGGCATTTGTGGAGTTCTCAGCAATGAGGGAGATATAGGTGCCCAAAGTGAGTTTGCCCCAGACTCCAACAGCCAGCAAGATCACCCCAGTGATCTGAAAATGGAAAGGGAGGAGAAGAGAGAGTGTAAAACTGCTGCTGAGAGAGGTGACAATCAGTGTGGCCTGACTATGGCAACTCATTAGAATGAATAAATTGGCAATTGCTGTAGGATTTCCTAGAGAAATGGGAAAATGTTGAAGATTGTTAACTAAAGTTATCATAGAACAAAGACACTGATTTTGTACAATTAGATCTATCTTACATAATTCCATATGTAGTTACTACATTAATCGGAAGTGAGACCAACAATAAAGAAGTTTTTAAGCTGCTTAAGAAATATATCCTAATACAGTTCTCAGAGACTTACTAGGTCTAATCTCAGAGCCACTACCTGATGCTGAGCTAGGTATAACCCCAATAGCAATGTCAGCTACCCTCCTTAATGGTATGTGTGTACATAGCATGTTTTAAGGACATTTCACATGTTTTAAGGAACAAGGTAATTTTCTTTCAATATTTTCACAAAAATCTCTACAAAAGCAAAACTTTCAAAAATACTTTTGAATCCATATTGATCCACCACCTTATTTATATTACTTTAGTCAATATAAAAAAACAGAAGAATCCAAATAACTCCTGGAATTAACTTTAGTGCAATGTGTCAAACCCTACTGATCAGGCCAAAAGAAATCCCTACAGCATGTCTAAACTCTAGAACCTTTCATCAATTGGGCCCTTACTTCAGAAGATAGACTTGGGGCTGCATGCTATGCCTTACTCTCCATCCCCTGAAGCTTTAGTTACTAAAGCCAATGGTTGACTGTGTCTCTAGCTCCAAAACTGGATTCTCCTTCAGTTTATTAGTAGCTTAGCAATTAGCCCTCCACTACCACTTATAAAAGCTTATGAGGCCTAAAAGAACCTGGGTGTCCAAGGGAGCTCTTCCCCATACCAAATGCCTCAGTTCCCTGTGCAGTCTGCCCATTCAAGTGAGGAAGCCAGATGAGAAACTGGAGAAAACCAGTATGATACAAATCAATACCCACCTCACCAATATTTACCCTATCGATCAATACTGTTCACTGTTCCATAACATTTGTAAGTGAACACCACCAGATACATGCTGCATGAGTAACCAAACAGCTGGGCCAGTGAAGATGCCAAGGACTCCCTCCATATATTCTGAAAACTCCTTATGCAATTTGGAGCCATCAAGCTCCACCATCATATTGTTTCACAGTGCAGGAAAAAGAACAGACCCTGCACCTTTCCCCATATCAGGTGAGAGTGGGCTCCACATATTTGGGGAGAAGGGTTCAGTAGAAACAAGAATGGTGATACTCCCTTACCCCTACCCCCAATAACCTCTCTACTTTATAGAAATATTAACCATGAAAGAATTAAAAGCATAAAATCATGAAAAGATTGAGGAACTAATGGAACTTTTACAAAATAAAGGAATGGGATGTGATATAGTCTTCAGGAGAAAATGTCTGACATTACTATTTGGGAGATAGTGGCCCAGTGGAGGTCTACTGCCTTTGAAAAGTTCCAATGGAAATGATTTTAGTGAGAAGACAACCAAGATCTCAAATGTTGCCAAGAGTTTCACGGCCTCTGCTGACACCTGGTGGTTGCTACAGAAAGTACCTTCCTTGAACAGCCTCTTCTTCCATATTCCTCCAAATAGAAACATAAAAGGTTTTTCAACTACCAGAATCAAAATATAACATTCAATTTTTCATTTATTAGGAATAAGAACAAATTTAATTGAACATTAGGTAAGAATGGTAGTGCCTGAACTGTCTTTTATTACTCAATGATTAGTATAATGCCAAGCACAGAGTAAATGCTCAATATTTATTGACAAATATATTTTATTTCTCTGGGTCTTAGAACCTGTTTTATAAAACAGAGTCCATCAAATGCCAAATACTTACAAAAATTCTCCATAAGGTAAATATTGTGAGGTAAGTTAAAAATGGAACCAAAGAAAAACTTTCTACCTTACTTCCCACTCTAGCACTATCTGCCTAAAGCTGAAATATCACAATGTGTTAAACAAAAACAAAAATTCAATTAAGCTAATCATTGTTTATATAGACTGAATATAGGTCTCATTTAGAAACTTGAAATTTCACATGACTGTCCCCAAAGATTCAGTTATACTTCAGACATACACTGAGCAGCTGCAGTCTATACATTATTATTACCAGTCATTATTAGAATATTGTTTTAATGAAAGTATACACTGACCAAATTTGAGTCTATTATCATATATTTTTATGAACAGTGATTTCATAATGTTCACTTACCACCATAACAAATATTATATGTGGTTGTCAAAGTTAACACAAATTCTGATTTTAAGGCAAATAGTATTAACATTTTTATTCCTTTTCTCCTTTCCAAAAATAAGAAACCTCTCCTCATGCAAAGTACAAAGTCTTTAAAAGCCTATAATATCAACTTGTTAAATAGTCATTTAACGTAAATTATACAAATATCACCTTCCCCTCCCCCCCCTTTTTTTTGCAAACCTCAAGGTTGCCTCTTAAAGATGGCCTGTGGGCACCATATTGCATGGGGGGGGGGGAACCACCCAACATCTTGACATTGACCAAGTTGGTCATCCTCTAAGGAACTCTTCCACTGAATAACATGAAGACTGGGATAGCTAGGCCCCTTCAAGCACCCATGTGTTAAGAATCTAAGACCAATCTAGAGAGAAAATGCCTTCTCTAATGTTGGTCTTCTACTGAAACATTCCTGATGAACAAATTGTGTTGGAAAACCCAAATTCCACATATTTGCAGCCTCATCTCCTTCATGACTCTTTGTACATACTATATCATTCCAGGAAAGTGTAGTTCTCTATGCACTTCCCATTCTTTATTGCTTCTTAACCATTGCCCTTGATGATTCTATTACCTAGCTTTGTTACCCTTCCTATCACTTCCTGTCTGCATCCTAAACTCTTTTGGTACACTGTACACACTTATCCCAGCCTCCTTAACAAAACTTACTCTGTAGTATTCCATTGTTTGTCATGCTGTGTTCTATTCTCCCTCCCATGCACATCTAGTACTGATTCCCTTAAGGGCAGAAGCTGTCTATCTTGGACATAGTCAATGTCCAATAGGTCTGTTGAATGAATGAATAAGCAACCAATTGTAGATTTGACAAGGGGAAAAATTTCATGTTATGCATCCACCTACTCTACCCTCTGAAATTCTCTGAAAGCCTAGCCAGTATGAGTCAGCATTGTAATCTGGAGAAATGACAATGTTAAGGACAAAGAAGAAAGATTTCAATAGACAAGGGAGAAAAAGGTTGGGTTGCATACACCCTGAGGTGAGTAAAACCATATCTAGTGATGGTAGTAGTGGTGAACTTGGGGTGAATATTATAAAACAATTGCCAGGCTATGGGAGAAGAAAAAAAAAAACTACAAACAAAGGAGCCAAAGATACTGTACTTTCATGTTTCTCAGATGCCTAGAGGCATTTTACTTGAGCCCACTTCCATTTGTGCTCACAGACCACAGATATTCTGACTAAACTTGTGTCATCAGAATAACTCTGAATCTGTCACATTTACAACTTATTTTATTTTAAAATTATTTGTGTAAATGATTAATGTTTTAAAATAGACTAAGAACCAGAATTTACTGAGGCTTTTCCATGGGTTTGAGAACTCAGCCCAGATGAATGGTGAGAGAAGACCTGGTATATTTAAAAGGTAGATAAATGGAAGAGTTCATGGCTGGGTGTTAGGATATCAGGATTTCAGCTGTAGTTTTGTCACAAATTAGCTATGTGGCCTTGGACAGATCAGCTAACCTTTAAGGGTCTCAGTTTCCTGATCAGTAGGACCAGGAGGTGGGCAAACCTGATTTTCAGTGCTTCCCCCATCTCTAACATTCAACAATAAATATGAACCTCAAAATTCATATTTATTCAAATTTATTAACTCTGAAATAAAATTATAGATGTGCCATTAGATAAATAAACACAAGAAAGTTTATGAGTTTCTCCCTGTGACTGACAAACCATTAGCAGTGAGAGTAGAAAGTCAACTCATTTCTGGATGCAAACCCCACTCACTGTTCTGCCAGCTTTCCAAGGTGAAAGTGGTTGCTGGGTGAGGGAAGAGAACATGCACAGTGAGTCATGTGTTATAGTTTTACACAGACTTCCAAAAATCCATTAGCTCACTGGCATGACAACAAGCTTTCCTTTTAAATGATGACACTGCTATCTTAAAAGCAACAAGACATATGCTTTGAGATTCTTCTTTCTAGGCAAGTATGTTAGCCAATTCAATCTTTTTCTCCCTTAGTTTTATGTCTATGTATATGTATGTGGAAGAGAACACAATACATGGTGGGGAGATCAGTGGCATCATTAAATAGAATAGGGAAATTGAGAACAGTGAGAGAATTAAGAGGATTTTAAATGATGTTAAAACTGAATTTGAGAACCAATAGGAAACCTCTCTGTTCTAGGTCCTGTTTTCTGTTGCTTTTGATGTGACACATATAACATATTCAGAGGCTGGAGTTCAGAATTTAGGAATTCATCAGAGCTGCAAGTGAGAGTTCAGGCCAGAAGTGACAGCTGAAGGAACAGTGTGTCTCAGGAAACAAAAGCAGAGGATGGTTGGAATGACAAGGGCTAAGGCTAGAATATGAGAGGACAATACTGGAAGACAGGTGATAGTGAACACAGTTGACATATCTATGAAGTTAGTTGCTAATAGGAAAAGTAGGAGACAAGGAAGAGACTTTCTTTCTCTTCTAAAAACTTAATGGGGGAAGGGAATACCACCAAAGTTCATTGACCCCCATGTGTGCCAATGAGCAGACATAGTACTCATTTATATATCCAGTACAGCCCACTAAGATTATATATATTATTTATTTCATCCTATAGCCAATTCATACAATTCAAGTTCCAAAGAATTCATTTGTTACAAACTTTAGCTTCCATTTCAATTTTATCAATGATTATATAACTATGGTCTGAAGTGCATACTGTCTAACAGATCATGG